CACAGCATAGTCATGCTGGGTATGAAAAAGCCATTCAAAGTGTACTGGCACTTTTGAACACATTTCCTTGACCCATACCTCTTCTCATCTCCCTCTCCCCCCTAGCTTTCAAATTATTAGAACAGGGGCACCTGAGATTATCTGGGAAAATACTGGTGAAAGGACAAGTCCGAAACATGGCGCACATCAGTGCTGGCAGAAGCAACTTTGGAAGTCCTGTGCCCAACCTCTACCACGGTAAGTGCCAGATTCCCCAGGCAGGACGCAGATACTAGTGACCATGCGAGTTCTCTGACCAATACTATTAAATCACAGAGGGAAGCAGAAATACTTCCTGTCAGAGGCTCAATCCGTACGGTTTCCAATGGGCACAGGAGCAGGAAGACCATGTCCCACGCTCGCCCACTGACTGCAGTCCCAGGAGTGCGACGTCAGGCACTCCCTGGGGCTGGCTCATACGCTTGTACGCTGCAAGGGGCCGAAGAGAGAGCCTGAGCAACAGCACAGCTGTCATCAAAAACTCCTACTGATTATGCACAACTGAGAGTCTCCTTAAGCATGAATGGCTTTGGACAAACATTTCTGGAGAAGCAAAAGGCAAACCCTGTCTCTTGGACCCCTTCTAAACTTCAAGTCCTTGCTCCAAAAGGAGGAGAAAATAGCAGCTCCCAATGATATGGAAATAAAGAGTTTTCCAACTTATTTCATATGGGCAAAGCAATAAATTTTCACCTAATCTCCTTCTTGGAAATGGCTAATTTTAGCTGAAATTTAGCATGCACGCATACGAAATCACACAGCAGCCCAAGGCAGACACTCAGCATGGAAATTTAAACTCCAGCACTTAAAGTCTGGCAAGGTTATCAGAAACTGAGAACAAGGCCTCTTACAGTGAAGTAGTGGTAAGTAAAAGAAGTGTGTAACCTCACTTTGTTGATATACACGAAAAGATGCACCTATTAATAAAAAAACTGCACGTACTGAAGTGGGCAAAATTTGTATAAACTGTGTCGTGCCTCACCTCTACCGTTAGGCTTGTAACAGAAAACTCTGAGCAAACTTTATAGATGTTAATATCCATATTGTTAGCGAGCTTGCTTTCTCTCTCTTTCTGTGTGTGTGTGCACATACATATTTGTACGTACATACACACAGATACAATTATGGTGTGTGTGTTTATGTTTATATAGAGAAAAAACGAGGAAGATCTATACTGATTTTTTTTTAATACTGCCAGGGAATTGGGATCTGCTTGCAGTTCCCATAAGGTCAGCATTTGCTAAATCAATTGAGTATTATTCACACAAATGGGAAAAAGCAGGCAGAGGAGTGTTCAGCTGTGGATGCTGTGCTTGGAGGTAAGGGACTTGGCCAGTATCTGCGCAGTTCACGTTGCCAGACTGCTGCAGTGATGTCCTAGCTCCCTGGACAAAGTGCTCTTCCTAGGTTCAAAAATGCAGGGTCCGAGTGCTCATCTTAGACATCTGCAAGTCTTGCTTATGCCGTAGGCCAGTGCCACTCTGTCACTGACTGGCACCATCCTCAGGCCTCCTACCTGATGGTGAAAGAGGATGTTTCATCATCCCACCCTTATGTCAGATGCTTCTTATGGCAAATACCCTTTTCGAGTCTACCCCAAGGGCAGGTAGTGCAAAGGCCCAGAGAGTGGTTTAAATGGATTACTTCACTTCACATTTGCAATAGAATTGGAGCATACCTGCTGTGTCTTAGCACCACGGTGGTTTTCACCATGGAGGTGGCCGTTTCCTATGGAACATTAACTCCTTTTTCTTGTCTCTCTTCTCAGCACCTTTGCTCACGTGGAAAGATGAGAGGAAAACCATGCTCATATAACAAATGGGCATCCCTTATCACTGGAGCTGTACAAACTAAGCTCGTGATGCTGCTAACCCTACACAAAGCCATCATCTCAAAGGGACAGGCCTAGGTAATATCAGCAAAGCCTCTTCTTAGAGAGACTTGTGCAGTTTTCCCCATTGCAATCCCCAAGTCTCCCAGCACAGCCATGCAGGAAACACTTGGGTGCTCCTCCTCCTCACGCAGGTACCAAGATCCGAGTCACAGCTTTCCACAACAGTGGCTATGAGCTCCTCCTGGCAGATCTGAGCTGGGAGCTACAAATTACAGCTGATAGGCTGAAGGCACAAGGACTTGTCCCTGCCTATGGGGCTGAAGGGGAGCAGGAGGGGGAGAGGGAGAGAAATAAGTAACCCGTAAAGAAGAGACTGACGGCGAAGAGGGTGAGAAGCAGGCTGTGGAGGAAGAGAAGGGATAGACGGAGCAGGACAGCAGATCAAATGAAGGCTTAAGAAAAGAGACCGAGCAAGAGAAGAAAAGGAAAACACTGAGGTTGCTGCGAGAGAGTTGATTAACGCTGAGGAAATGGGAACAGAACAGAAAGAGACAGAAAGGGGGCGCATGGAAGACAAAAAGCATTCCTCGTGTCCTGCCACGAACAGGATAAGGCCTTTGGATGGGCTGCAGGGGAACAGGGCTGTGAGAAGACCGGCTATCAAGAGAAGCCCACAGTCCAGATAAGACCCAGTTCAGCTGAATAACCACAGGTCAAAGGAGACAGTATCCATCGACCTGCCTCCCACCCCCAGGGGCTGCCGCTCTGGGCAGCACAAGGTGAACTCTGCCCAGCACACTACTCATTCCTAGCTCTTGGTATCCTATGTTATGTTATGTTACCTTAGCAGCTGCTTTCATCCTCTGTCCTGCAATAGTCCAGTCCCCTCTACCTACAACCCCTAACCTGTCCCTTGCACCTGTTTTGGAAAAAGCCGGGCCCCTGGCATCTAAGCTAAGCTGTCCTGAGGCAGCAAGGCTGATGGAGAGAGCCCCAGGGGGAAAGCAAATTCACACACAGCGCTCACCCCTGCAAACACAGGCTCCTTCTGGGTGCACATCCATCTCTGGGTGAGCAGGTGCAGGAAGGATGAGGGGGATTCATTCAACAGTCTACTAGAAGATGGCTGGGGTTTTTCTTGTTTGGTTGCTTCATTAGGTTTTGTTTGTTTGTTGTTTTTCCCACTGCCTTGGCAGAAAGCACAATGCGGGCTGTGTTCCAGCTGCAGCTGATGGGACAAGCCCTCCGCATGAGGGAAGGAGGCTGCTGCTGGCAAAACACAGGCTCCTCTGCTCCCCAGGACAAGGAGGCGCCCCGAGCAAGCCCGCCAGGGCAGGCAGGGGCCTGCCGGGGTGAAGCGTGTGAGAGAAGGAGGGCATCTTCCAGCCAGAAGACAGAGAGGAATGGTGGCATTTGCCACCTGGGCCCAGGGCCCGGGAATGGGAGCTGGTACGGGCAACGTCAGTGAAGATTCCCCCAGATCGTGCTGGGCACTGCTCGCTTTCACTGTTAACTCCTTCCCCGCTGGCTAACCTGTCTCCCCAAAAAGGAACTGTCATCTTCCAGACTGCTGCTGGGGAGCAACTTCCTGCTTGTCTGAAGGAAATCAGCTATGCCACTGCTCCCCCTGTTTCCGCAATGCCGGAACATAAAGGCAGGTAAATGTCTAATTAACAACTGTCCAGCAGGAAGAGAGCGCGTGAGTGAGGAAAGGATGCAGATGGTGAATGCCATTTGGCTCTAGAGAAATCTCTGCTCTGTATGCACCCATTGGATATAACAGGGAGAAAGAGATGATCCTTCCCTTGCCATGGGCGGCGGAGCTGTGATGGTGCCAACCTAGGTCTCAAAGGCTCTGTAAAGCCATAAAACAGGGCCAAGCCAGGGTCTGCCGGTCAGAAGCAGAGGAGCACCAGGGCGTGGAGAAGAGCGCTCACAGACAGGGAGCAGTAGGGCCAGTCCAAGGCAGGCTGGAGAGACGCAAGGGAAGACAGGATGGGGGAAAAGCAGAGGACAATGAGAAAGGGGAAAAGCATGAAAACAGGATGAGAAACAATGGGAGAAGGAGATTTTGGGGAAAATAGCTGGAGGGGGAGGGGAGCAGAGGGATGGAAGTCAGGCATGGCTGCATACAAAAACAAAGAGGGGCCTGGGTGGAAGAGAAGGAGTGGGATCAAGGGCTAGCAAGGACAAACTTTGTGAGGGATCTGGGTGCGGAGAGAAGCACGGGGGCTCTTTTGCCTGCAGATCAGGGAGGGGGTGAAGGATCATGCTCGGTGGTCACACCTCCATTTGCTAGGATTGTTTCCAGACCTGCAGCCCTCTCCATCCCACCCACAGCTGCTGCGCGCTGGCTCACTCCAAGCCTCTTAATCAAGTGCAGGCTCAGCGCTAATAAGTGACTTTAAACAGGTCTGTCATTTTTGGATTTGGGAGTGGGGTGGGGGGCTGAGGGGAACAGAGAAAGTGGGAAATAAATCTACATATGATTAACACCGAAGTTCTTGCAGGATTTGCAGGAAGGAGAGGAGGCCAGGCCCTGGGGAAGGGTGACCTCCAGCTTTGCTAGTCCCTCCTGGAGTAACAGTGACCTCCTGTGGCTGCGGACTTGTCCCAGGGGGTTGGTTTGTCCCTCCACCAGCACTGACACTTTGCAAAGCCTCACAGGGACCCTGAAGGGCTTTGGCCACTCCTCACACAGTCAAAGGATGAGATTTCAGACCTCGAAATGAAACGTGGCCTGGAGCCTGGCTCCCAAGGCCATCCATAGGAGGAATCCTGAGCACTGGTTATCTGCTGCAGGGGGACACAAAAAGCCACTGTGACACAGGCTCATGGCATTGTCTTCAATTGGCTAAAAGCAGGGACAGGTCTGTAAGCAGGGACAGGTACAGGTCTGTGAGACCATTTGGGAGGAAGGGAGCTGTGGGTAGCAGGCAGGAAAACTTGACAGCTCCATCACTGTCCCTGACACCATTCAGAAGTGTTCTCCACCAAACACACACACAAAAAGACCGCTCTGTTCCAGGAAATTCAGTGTTTACGCAGAGACAGAGGAAGGCAGACTTAAGAGGCGACTAAGGCAGGAACACAGTGATGGATCTGGCTCCATCACCAGCTCACTCACCTCCCTGGTATCATTGTCCTGGATCAGAGCATACAGAGGCACCACCCGGTTGATCTCCAGCAGAACTGGTGTAGGGCTGAGCTGCTCCTTGCCTGGACGCCGGCACAAATGGCAGGTTGATGGGCAGCGCCCTTTCTCCTCGCAGTGAATCTCCACACCTGAGATGAGGTGGTCATCAGATAGCATCTGTGCTGTCAGCAGGCCAGAGAGGTAGGTGATGAATGGCATGGATTTCAATTCCTTCTTGTTCCCAAGCTCAGTTGTTTCTGGTTTGGTGACAGGGAGAGAAAAGAAAACAAACAGCATAAAATAAATCTCAGCCTAGTGCACTTCCCAAACCCAAACTTCACTACAGCCAGGATAAATGCAGCTGCTGATGGGGTAGGCCAGATGGGAGCAGGAAATCAGAGAAGTTGAAAGAGAGAAGGACAAAAACAGGACTTGCAGGTCACTGCTTGGGAGTGGGTAGGAAGTGTAAGCATTTCCAACTGAACACTTCTAAAGTGACAGAGTTGGCCATGTTTTCTTTCTTCCTTTTTGTAATTTGCACATTTACTTTCTGCATTTTGAGACGAAATAAAACCACCCAAGTACATCTTCTCTACCAAAGAGAACCCTCTCCAATGGGGCCAGGTCAAACAGTTGATTGTCCTCCTGCCCCTAACTCTGAGAAGAGGAGCCAGGTATCCCACCTCTATCCTGTATACTCCCATTTAAACTCTGTATCTGTAGACACTCCTCTTGGGTTGATCCAAGAAGAAAGCCTCAACCTTCATAGCCCAGTGATGGGCCTACAGAAGAGAAATCTTTCTCTGTCTCGTGCCTGAGTAAGGCTCACAGCACTATGAGATGGATGGGTAGACAGCTGTTGCCTTCAGCAACAACTTCCCAGTCCAAAGGAGGAGTTGTACAAGAAGGAAGATTGTCTCAATGGCCTCAGCTTGCTGTGACATGCAGCTGATGAGGCAAGGAGCATGTCAACTGGAAATACAAATAAACACAGTATTCATTCATTATTCTCTAAGCCCTTCAGGCTAGGGACAAGCCTTCCCCCTCCCTCTGGCTATCAGGGAATACTTATGCGCACAGGATCAAAGCTGTCACAGGAGGAATTAGCAAATTCCAACGCACCCATCTTTCGGCGGCATTAAAGAGGGACAGTTGCTAAAATAAATTAAAACAAGGCTGTGAAGGAGGGGTGTCAGCATCTGAGGAGACAGTGGCATAAACAGACATGGAAACAGAGAGTTGGAACTAGTTCTCAGAGGGATTACAAAACTGGGAGAGTGTCTCTAGACAGTTTCAAGCCTGATAAGAGAAAGCCACGAAGCTGCATGAAATTGGGTGGCTCAGAGAAATGGAAGCTACAAGGTGATTCCATAGGCCTCTCCTCACTTCTAGGTAAGAGTAACACTTTCTTTCAATATAGCTACTAAACTGCAGTTAGAAGAAGAAGATGATGACCCTTCTGGGCTGCAAAGCTTATTTAAGAGATTTCAAGGAGTGATTTCAGAGCATTTCCACCAGGAAGGAAGCTTTGGAGTCGTGTTTTAAGGGAGAACATAAGCATCAAACTAAGAGAAAGGGAATCATTTGATCTCATGATTGGCATCAGTATATCATATCCTCCTTCCTTCAGTATTAGTCTGATGGCTAAGGATTATAAACCATTGGCACCATTGGCTGGATGTGTCCTTTACTTAGATTTGGTAAAAGTCAGTAAGAAGTCATAGCTGATTGGCTTGCTGGAAGATCTGACACACAGTTTCAAGCCTTTCTGAAAATCATTGTCCAAATCACACAGAGGCTTCTGCCAACACATCTAGCACTGTGGGGCAGTCTCTGTACGTGCCAACGGGCAGTCAGTCCATGGAAACGGCACAACAATTTAACACTCAATAAGTGGCGTCCTGGTAAAACCATATGGAAACAATAGCTTTTGTTTCAAGAAGTATTAGAAAACTTCTGAGTTGTCTTCATTCACCCAAACAATACTCGCATTGCAAGGTAAGTACAGCAATGAAGTGATTTCCTAATCAATTGCCTAAAAATTGTAAATGTGCCTTTTTAAAACTAGCTCTCTGCTTGTCAATGACACACATTTGGGAATAACGGACACTTCCGAGCAGGTGACCTCAACATTGCTTACTGTGCACGTTGCCCTCCACACCTCACACCTGCTAGAAGAAGAGATGAAGACAGCCTAGGATGGATGGGCAGCATGGTCAAGCTGCTGCAGCACTCCCTAGGATGCCTTGCTTGAGGCTCTTTTCAAGGTTCTTTATTCTCTGCTTTTCTGTGTTTGTTATCTGTTCTTTCTATTTTGAAGCACCGGGTACCTTCTCATGAGGCATTTTCATACGGTGCTTGTGGTCTTTGGTGCTAGGAGAGTACAAACAAGCAGTAAGCAGCGGGATGAATATGCAGGAAGAGCAACCTCTCTTCGTCTTCCTCAGTTACAGTCTATGTTTGCATGGAGCAAGCTGAGGCAAGTAAGGAGTAAATTAGACCTCTGAGCAAGAATTACAACTAACTCAAAGGGTGCTTCGCTTGTAGGTTCAGCAATCTCCCTGCATTACCTCGTGCTGAGTGACAATGCTGCTTGATTGACGCAGTTGTGAGAGCTTTGATTCAAGTCTTTGCATTAGCTGCCCCATCCTGGAATACAGATGAAGCTCACTGCAGTTCTACTCCACCAGACACGTCACTCTGGGGAAGGAGAGGACATGGCTTCCCTGCAAATGGTGGGCTAAAGCCAGCTACACAAGGAGAGCAGTCCTCCTACTTCCACCCACTTAAAAACACAGTCCCCTTTAGCAAGAAGGGAAAAAGAACACCAGCTCATAGAACATGTCCTGCATGACCAGTTGCCTTGTTTGTCCGTCGCTCCAAGGAAAGGGGACTGCAGCCAGGGTGGGGTGGTAGAGATGGTAGTTTAAAAGTTCTCCAAAGGGTCTGGCATGAAGATAAGGGCTCCTCCTTCCTTCTGAAGGAAATACGAAGGGAGTAGAGCCTTTCCAAGAGCAGCAGTCACGGAATGGATCTGCCCTGGGGGAAGATTAGAGGTCTGCAAATAATGTAAGGTAGAAAAACAGTGGCTCATCAGGGAGGCTGTATGAGTAGGCAGCTCCCCTTGCATAGCAGGCACACTCGCTCAGTAACAGAAGATTAACCATGGAGCCAGGTGACTTGTGACAGACTTGTCAGCATAGCAGATTTCACAGGTAAGGTAGAAATGTGTGTCTCCATTTACACCTCTTTATTATAGTTGAAGCCTCAGCCGCTTTGGGGAACAGGAATGCTTTGTAGATGGGGTTCCTGGGGACCTAAGGGGTTACTGTAGCTCAGGTTAATGGTTCTATGCCCTGGCAACTGATACACGGTGTTCCCTTGTATCAAAAACGCTCTGGGTTCAACTCCAGGTGATGAAAACGGAACAGAACATGGCTCAGCGGAGGGAGACAGGCTTCGCTGCCAAATTGCCAGCCTAGACGACTAGACTAGAAGTCATCAGCGCTGGATAGCAGTTCCTGGTAGCTTTTGTGGAATGACCTTTAGGGGCTGGCTACAGCCCTAAGGAAATATTCACCCCATTTCTGCCATTAAAATCCATTCTAAGAGTGCTGGCTGCACAACCTGCTTGTAAGCCAGCTCCTCCAGAGTCTTGAGAGAGGAAGCGAGCAGGAACTCCTAGTCTTCATCTGCTTGCTCTGGGAGTGGAAAGCACCAACTCCAGGTGCCTTCAGTAGCAGTACATTCATCCCCAGAAAGCCGGTGATTTCCTCGACGGAGAGCGCGCTCACTTCTCTCACTCCATGCACTTCACCTGTCACTTTCCCCCAAAACACATCAGCTTTATTCCTGGACCTGCCATTGCAACTTTAGCCAAAGAAGAACTGAGAGAGAACAGGGTCCCTAGATCTCCCTCTTCACTATGTCTGAGAAGAATTTCAGTTATTTATTCAGCTATTTGCGTGCAAGTAAGGGGCTCACAAACCACCCCACTCTCCCCAAGGCAAGCCCGACAGTGAACTGGAGAAACCTCGCATATTCCTGGAGGCTTGGTCTGGCTTTTATTACCTAGCTGATGTACAATATTTGTCAGTGCTAAGGCCCAGCTGACTAGCTTCTCCTTGGATTAAAATACGCAAGGCCCAACCCTATTCCTGATTAAGTCAAAGGAAGTTTTTTGCCATTGGATTAGAGAGAATCAGAACCAGACCCTGAAATGTAACATTGAAATGCCATCTCCAGTTGCCACCGAAGCCAATAGAAACACTCTTGTCTTCATTGCAATCTGGGTCAAGCCCAGAGTAAGTCAGCTCAGCTTTATTGTTCAGGTCCACGTTGCATGAGCCTTCCGCAGGACTGGATAACCTCCCAGAGCACGCAAATTGTTCTTTCAAAGTCTCTGCTATGCTCCCAGGGAAAGTCTTTGCAGGTGACCACTGCTATGTTGCTCCAAAGGCCCCATTCTGGCAGCAAGACAGGCTTGGCAGCCGAGTCTGCAGCACAGTGTACCAAGAGTGAGGAAGGAGGGATTCCTTATCAGCCCTTGCATCTGAACATGCTTTCGCTAATGCTGCTGGCGACTCAGTGAATCCTGGCAACATCTGTTTGGAAGCACAGCGCCGCGGATGTGGTTAGACGCATCACGGCAACTTGTGGGAGTTATTAGTTTGTTTGTTTGTCTGAAATATGTATTAAAAAAAAAAAAAAACAGCCTTCCACTAAGCATCAAGCCTTGCATAAGAGAGGGAGGATGAGCACTGCAGAATGTGCAATGGTATCGATCGCCTCTTCTAGTCTCTGTGCTCCACCAGGATTTAAACAAGCCCGGAGTAAGAGATGACTGCCTACACAATGTTCAGGGGTCCTTGCTCAGGATGCAGTAGTTACAGATGTCAGAAAACACTTACAGCATTACCAGCAGCTCCTCCTAGCGCTTGGACAAGAGGGAGGCATGATAACACTATTACTATAACAATAACAAAAGCATAATACCTAATTCTTTTGTATTTGAGAGCTGTTTTGTCTTGAGAGCTCCCCGGAGACAAGGGTTTTGCTAGTGCTCCAGCATTTTGTACAGTGCCTGTTCCAAAAGATCCCAAGTCATTCCAAAACTGGAAATCACTCCACTTCCCACAAGAATGCAGCCACATCAGGGGTAGGATGTGGTAGCTCTTCAACAGCAGAAAAGCCTAGAACAAGGAGAAGAAGGTTCTCCAGCTAAAGCCATAGCGGGGATGTAAGGAACAGACCCAGG